TGACGTGCTTTAGTGGTGGTGCCATCTACGAACTTATAAGTTAATCACTGTGACATATGACACTTATGTCAATTTTGACAATTTCTTAAATAGATAATTTGTTTATTTGAATAAAGAAAGAAAGGATTTTGTTTTAATTATAATTGTAATTATGAATTAGGTTAATAATTGTAAGAAAAGTTGTTTTCTATTGCCGCGCCATCTTTTGGACGATTGTAATAACTAATTTTTTTTTTTATGGGTTTCAGTGCAGCATGGAGAAGTCGTCGTTAGGCAGATGTTTCGCGACGCGCAAAAGCAACGAGTCTCAATGTCCGATGATCAAGACATCCGCAGCTACGGGGACGACGCCCATGAAGCAGCTGTCGACGAGACCGTCCTCGAAAGCGGCCTCGACGAAGACGTCGCCCAGTATCAACAACACGCAGAAGAAACTACGTTTCCAGCTGGCGAAAGAGCGTAAGGCCAGCACCACGTTGGGCATCATCATGAGCGCATTCACCTTTTGCTGGTTACCGTTCTTCGTGCTCGCCCTCATCCGACCCTTCCTCGATCAATCCTCGACGGCCGTCAACACTCTCTCGAGTCTCTTCCTCTGGCTCGGATACGCGAACTCCCTGCTCAATCCCATCATCTACGCGACCCTCAACCGAGACTTTCGCAAACCCTTCCAGGAGATCCTCTACTTCCGATGCGGCAGCCTCAATCACATGATGCGCGAGGAGTTCTACCACAGCCAGTACGGCGATCCCGAACACCACGTGTCGACGCGTTGCCATCACATCGACTACGAGGATGGCGTCGAATACATCGAGGCCGAAGGGGAACAGATCAAGCCGCCTCAGCCGGAGATCAACGCCGCCCACGAATCGTTCCTATGATCGCGACCGGTCGTGCGCTGAAGATGAGAAGGAAGAGGAAGCAACCCAACGTACACACATCCACGCAAAGCATACATATACACATACACACAATCACAACCAAAAATACACGCTAGTATAAAAGGAAGCATAAAAGTGAAGCAATAACCGACGCCATCTGTCGCAGAACCATTAAACTAAATACCAAACACTCGATCATGAGCGTAGTTCTAAACTAAATCTAAACAAGATAATCTATTTAAATAATAATGAATATAAAGTTAAATGTTGTGCTTCGCTTCGTAGACTTCTACTACTACTACTACTTCTACTACAACTCTTCAATACACTTCATTTAATAAATGATATTTAGAAAATCTTAAAACTTACGTGATAGAAGTAAAAGACTCGAGGATCAAGATGATGGACGCACCCAAAGGGCTTTCTCTCCTGTACAGGTGAATATCAAACAATTTTACATAACCTAATTTTTCCTATATACAACGCAAGCTCAATTTTTCTTTTTAACATTTTTGTACAAATAAAATCAATAAAAGTAATACTTTTTCTAACAAATACGATGGATAACGAACGCTTCCGGCCATCAATCAATCACTTTGTTAATTACGTTGTTTCCCTGGGAAACCGTTACCTCAGGTTACGACATGTTTAATTGGAAAATCAACATCAAACAACAACATTATTAATTAATTTTAAAATTAGTTTTTCTTTTTTGCAAAATGTTTAACTGCACTTTTCCTTAACATATTGTCTGGAAATAAAAAGGGATGAGAGAAGAGGAGAGAAAAATCGTTGAGTCGGTAATGCATTCAGGACGTTCGGTCCTTTGTGTCGCCGAGAGGAGAAGAGAGAGACTCGAGTGAAAGTCGATAAGCTTTATTACTTTTAAATTGCTCAAACTAAATTAATTTTCTGTTTATTCACCATCTTCTCTCTCTCTCTTCCTCTTCCACACTCTCATTCCGGAAAGAGAAAGATGCAGAGACATTCAATTCTTCGTCAAAGTCTAAAGCGCATTGTAATCTCCGAAAGTGGAGAAAACTTTTGCAATTTTCCGTAATGAAATATTATAAATTTTGTACGCAATATTTTAATACAAATATTGAATGTCATCAATACGTCAGTTTCCATAGCAACCTTTAAATCGAGATTTGACACTTTTATCATGTTGATATGAATAGTTGTCATGGTTACCGGATGACACGTGCTGATGATGATGCGTGTATGCTTGTGTCAGTGGACGTCGATGGACGTATCTTTGAAGGGTCATCGCGTCGCTCCGAATGGCCGAATCGATGATCAACTGCGGTGCAATTATTCGCGCCTCGAATGTACATGATAATAGGGAAAAAAAAGCAGTGTTTTCATCGAAATAATGAAAAATTTTAAAGGATTCCGGTGTGCTTTTGTCCACTTCGGATGATCGATCGAAGCGCCCTCGACGGGGAATTTCGATGATGGTGGTCGGAGCCCTCTTGGATAACCGCTATTACCGGTTCGATCCGAACGTTATTAATGCAATTGTTGGCAGCACTGAGAGAACGAGCCAACAACAACGTGCAACAGCAGGCAACAACAGCAACAACAATTGCGGTTGTTTGGTTGCCTTTGAATCCGCGCACACGTTATCAAGAATTCAAAGCGCACAAGCACACACAATAATTCCTCCTCCACTTCATAATAAAACATGTACGAGTGCCGTGCTCCCACATTTCTATCTATCTCTCTCTCACATTCACTCACTCAGTATTTTTGCACACAAACGCAATCCATTCATCCCACTCAACGCAATGACAGCAACACACTTGACAATCTAATAACTGGAAATGCGGTGCCATCTATCATCACGTCGCGAAACGCAGTGGAAAAACTGACGTGACTGAGGTGCACTTTTCGTTTCGTTTACCTTCTTTTGTTTCTTTATTGCACTCTTAAGACTTTTAACCGCGACGTTCATGTCGCTCACGTTTACCAACAAAAATAAAAACGAACATTACGTACAAAACATAAAAGAAAACAAAGTGACACGAAACAAATCATCAAGACAATAACGAATACATTATTTCTTTGTTAATTACACGAGTCGCCATCTATTATCATAGATATCATAGTTTTTTTTTGTCATAATAATAATCAATAATTAATGACGTTTGTGTATCGATAATGACCGTACGCATAACGTAATCATCATTACGTCCGATTAGTGGGATCGTTATGCAACCGGACTCGCTTCCGTGATCGGCGAGCGCATGCAAACTAATTGCATCACCACCCACTTCGCACCGGATCAATGCTGGTTGCGTGTGCACGCCGACAGATATTCGATGGATTTCAATTAGCGATCCGCGTAATCGATATTGATCGAAATTAACGTTGAACTTTTTTTTTATTTATTGAAATTCAAAGTTGGTATTTCTGAAAAATATTGTGAGACGTATAGTTTCGATGCGGACAATAAAACAGTGGAGTCATTCATTTGCGCCAGCAATTTGGCAACGTGCAGTGTATGTTCGGGCACAATGTGTGTATTATTCATTGTTTCTCTCTCTTTCTCTCTCTCTATATATATATATATATTCTTGTTGTTGTCTTTGTTCTTTTTTTCGTCTCTATTTCCCTTCCATTCTTGTCGTTTTGCGCGCTTCGTCGGTGTCGTGTTTATTTATTTTTTTTACTGTTCTTGTTGTTGCGTTGTCCGGATGATGTCTGGCGCTTGATGAGATGAAGAAGATGTATTGCGGTGATTATTAAGCAACAATGGTATCCGAACGAGACGAGAGGGGGCGCTCGCGCTTATTCTTCGCAACATCCCCTTCTAACCACACCACCCAACGATCGATCGTGTTTATGTGTGTGCCGCCACACACACATAAACACAACACCTCCCGATCCTATAACCGTAAGCCAGCCGCGTGGTTGGATGAGAAGAGGGTTTGGGGTTGGGTGTTGTATAGGGGGTTGCAGCCGCTCGTTGCTAATGGTGGACCCGCACTAAAAGCCATTTATCACTCAAACATTCTGCAACCATCAAAATCCACCCCCTCCTCGCGCACTTTCTCCTCATCCCTCCCGAAACGGCACACGTTATCACGCAGATTAATTTTCACAAAATGCGACCACCATCAATACAAGAAGGAAAAACCTTGATTTATCGTTGCAAACGGGTTCATTTTATCTTTCTTTTACATTTATTTTTATTACAATTTCCTCCTTCACTTTTTTTTGATTGATTATTCGTTAAGTTATGCACGACCAGAGGGCGCTTCACGAAACAAAACGACTGCAAGAAGAAGAAAAAGAAAACCCCACCTGAATGGAATGATTGATGTACCTTCATACTTTAATTATGTTTCGACGCTCTCTTTTATTCGCGAAACGAGCCAAAACGAAGAACAACAATTGAATTTCATTAAGCCGAAATATTTATTATTATATAATAAATGTACGTAGTGCCATTAATTTGTTTCAGTTGGTAAACTAAAAACTACCAACTCCAAATTAATGTCAAATATTCAAGTAATTTTGGTTGTCTATTCATTGTACGATTTTTTTTCTTTTATTTATTGGTATGGACAATCTTCTGTCCCCTAAACGCCGTGTGCAGTTCATTTGATCCCAATTTGAAATTGAAACTGCGAGGCCGAATCGAATGAATAATTTATAGCAAACCATCCCTCCCCACTTTCAACCCAAAAACACTCCTCTCGATTCGATTGCAACCTGTTGACCGTCGGTGGTGCGATGGAAACGGAGATGGAAAAAAAAAATGCACACAATCAAATGGGGTTGCGTTGAGTCCGATTTTTTTCCACTCGTTGTGACACGAAATTCCGTTTTCTCGAATAAATAAATGAACGGAAAAGCGAAAATAGAAAAGTGAGTGAAAATTGAAAAATTAAAAAAAAAAAA